TAAGTGCCGTGGAGTCGATTCTGACCCATAGCGACCCTGTATAGGGTTTCCAAGGAGCAGCTGGTGAGCTTGAACCACTGGCCTTGAAGTTCAAACAACTTTGCTGTCTGATGTATTAGCCCACAGTACCACACCAGGACTCCATACACACACATAAAGGGGGCAAAGATAAAGTATGGTATTTGACAATTGTCAGTGATGTATCCGGAGCTTTGTTTTCCTAGGCATAAGATACTAGGGTCTTTTTATATGTTACATCTAAACTTTTAGGGGTCCAAATGTGGTGCATTAGAATAAGCAATCGATTGCTAATGAAAGCTCAGGGGTACAAACCCACCAGCTACTCCTTGGAAATCCTATACAGCATTGCTATTAGTCAGAACCAACTGGATGGTACTTCACAGTAACAACAATAAACTTGTATTTAAAATCCCTTCCTTCCTAGGACCCATATCATGAATGTCCTTGATGAAAGAAAAGAACTATGGAATTTGAGGATTCAGAAAGACAAAATACTAGATAGAAGTTTCTCTAAGTATCTTCAAAATGACTTCAATGACCAGAAAATGGCATTTGTTTTTATGGTGATTTTTAACATGATTCTGGAAATAAATTCTTAGTGACCAACATTACTATTTAATTGTAAATGCATAAGTCAAAATGGTATAAGGTCTATGATAGAAATGTACATGTAGATATATGTGTGTTATTGAGGAAAATGATACCCAAGAGTAGGTTTTCTTTCTGTCTTGTTTTAAAAATTAAGTAAAATGTATCCTCTTTAGCAAAGATATAAAAATAAAACTGAAAGGAGTTCTAGACTAATAACAGAGAACTTTGATGTGATTTTGTAGTAGGAATTTTATAAATTACATGTGTATGTGAAGTTGTCTAGAAGCCATAGAATTGTCATATTAAAAGAAGACGATAATCATTTCACACTCACCCACCACAAATTTAGGGCAGAGGAAAATGACTTGACAAGGGACCTCTGGTAGCGTAGTAGTTGTGAGTCAGGCTGCTAACCTCAAAGTCAGCTGTTTGAAACTACCAGTGGTTCTGAGGGAGAAAGATGAGACTTTCTGTTCCCATAAAGATTTACAGACTCAGAAATCCTGGAACCGACTCCAGGGCACATCACCACTACCACTACCAAGGTCATTTTGTTTTGTATGCTGCAAAACACTTCATCACTTCATTAAACACAGAAGATATTTTAGCTTCATTTTTACAGTCTTAGGAGGGTAAATCTTCCTCCATGTTTTGAATTGGACAGAATTAAATAGTGCCACTGTGGGTCTTTTCCAATTTATGCCTCTATGCTTTCTGTGTTTCAGTCAGTCTAATCCAGGCCTGCTTTCGTAGTCATTGACCTTCAGGTACTACAAGTAAATAATAAGACTCTAGACAAAAGACATTGCTAAGCTTTTCTTATCTCACAAAGACACAGCAGTGTCAACAATTCAAGGCTCTCTGAAAAATAATGAGTGAGAGCCAGTCATTCCAATTACCAAGGAAACAGGCAATGGAGATGGTTTATAAACAGCATTTGGACATGGATTGTCTGGCATACATGAAAATTAGAACAAAATTAATGCCTTGTAATCTGGATGCAGAAATTCATTTAGAATTTGAATTTAATGACTAAGAAAAACAAAGATTGTGATTAACTAAGCCACTGAAACCCAGGAGGGAAAAGTTAGGTCATAACCATGTAAGACTGATCTTCTCATTGAGAAACTGGCTAATTTAAAATAAATTCTAGAGTATGCTTTCATTTTACATCCTTTCGCATATTAAAATTTAATTTCAGGCTCTAACAAGCTTCAAAGGTAAAAGAATATAACTTTCATACCGAAGATGGAAGGATATGGAATTATTCTTTAGAAACGCCTTAAAACCACAGACTGCTGCTTACTTATAATGGGAATTTCTTGAGGCCCTGTAATCTTGATTTAGAGTGTGGCGCTGTGGGTTAATGCATTGGAGTGCAAGGTTGGTCTGAACCACACGGTTGGCGGTTCAAGCTCACCAGCCGCTCCTTGGAAACTCTATACAGGGTCACTATGAATCAGAACCGATAGCACTTAACAACAACAAATAATAATCATGCTACAGTTAACCTGTTAACCTTCAATCTCCATCCAACAGAACCAGGCCTTTCCTATCAAGTATCCATGTGACACTTTTCCACATAGGTTCAAAGGGCAGCATGCTAAGGAGTTCTTCTTGATGCAGATGGACTTAATCATTTTCAAATTGCTACATTATGGATTACACCTAATCATAAAGAAAACAAAAATCCTCACAACTGGACCAAAAGCAACATTATGATAAATGGAGAAAGATAAAAGAGAAAATCATACAACTTACTGCACTGAGAAAATCTGCTGCAAAAGACCTCTTTAAGGTGTTAAAGAGCCTGCAAGGTCGGCAGTTCAAACTTACCAGTTGCTCCTCATAAACCCTAGAGAGGGTTGCTATGAGTTGGAACCAACTTGATGGCACTTAAACAACAACAACCATGTGTTAAAAAGCAAAGATATCCCTTTGAAGACTAAGGTGCACTTGACCCAAGCCATGGTCTTTTCAATTTACCCTAAGTAATTTAAACCAATATTTGCTAAACCCAGCCAAAGTATTTTTCTGATACTGAGAGGTTTAGTCCCTTGTCTTTATTCTTCTCCACCCTTCCCCCCATTTATACAATTATTTTATTAATAGGTTTTAGTATCATGGTAATTTTGTTGTTAATTCTTATTCTCATCTGGTGACCACTGGACTATGCACTTCCTTATGAAATATTCCCAGATACGGAGGGGAGAAATACATGCATGCATCTCTAACAGTGGTATTTCTGCTACTTTAGACATCCTATATAATGGAGTCCTGGTGGGGCATTTAGGATTAAGTATTGGACCACAAGGTTGGTTTGAATAGCAAGACGGCGGTTCACATTCACTAGTCACTCCTTGGAAATCCTATACAGGGTTGTCACAAGTTGGAACCAACTCTACGGAACTTAACAGAACAACAAAGTTAGGGAAGTTTATTTAGTACTGTAACAAGCACATTAAATTCCTTATTCAGAGCATCATTGTAGAAATGTCTCTTGCTCCCTGGGACAAACTACCCAAATTCTGTGTCTCTGTTGTTTTTAAGGTAATCACAGCTTTATATGTAGACAGGAACTCAAGGACCTACATCCACTATTTCAGGTCACTGTGGTATTACAGGTTTTTCACATCTAGCCTTAGTGCCAAGGAACTTTCTTGAGCTGAACCCAAGTGACACAAAGCTGAATTGATTAGCTCTTTTCAGAATATATTCTTTTCATCCTTTAACCTGTCTCCTCTGATGGGAATTCTTTTTGATACTTTCAAAGTCTGTAAGACAGGTCCTCATCTTTGGCCCTGCAGCATTTTTTAAGTCCCATATTAACTATAACACTGTGGAGCAGCCTCATTACCATCCAAGGAAGTTCTACAGGTGAAGGTGCAAGCTGGTGTGTCTTGCAGAGATGTGGAGACCCCCCGTGCATGCTTTTATCATGTCTCTGCTGGGTCTGCCATTCATTATTTGTGCATCCACTTGCCACTTCCCTCCTAGATTTTCATTTTATGAGGAACCTCCTCAGGTCCCGTTCTCTCTGTGCACAGTCTGAATGTTCCAACAGAACGTAAGTCACTTCCAGCAGAGTGGATGCCTAGATCTTGGGTACCAATTTGACAGAGTTTACAGTTTCCTGGGCATATTCTCGCTGCCCATCTTCAATGTTTGAAGAGGGAATGTGATATTTTTGTCCAAAAAGCTCTTCTTACCTAGCTTTCAACTTAAGGGTCCTCAATATCTTTAAAACATGGAACCTTGTCTTGAAGCAAGTCAAAATTTTTAGACACAACTTTTAAACTGGTCTTTTTTGTGTGTGGCTCTCAAACTCAGTTTTAACTTTAATGTTAACATCTGCAAAATGCTTTGAGATGTTTTCTGAATGGATGCAGTACGTATCATTTGATTGATGGTTCAATCAATGAGTGGCCCTTACCAACGTTACTCAAAGTACTTAGCTGAATGCTACAAATGCATCTTATGTCCTGCATCCAAAATCTTCATTATCACAAGAAACTCTACCAAACTAGAGAAACAAAGATTTGAGACCAGTTTTAAGGAAATGTGCATTTTTTCTTTACCACCAGCAATGCACAGGTAATGACATACATGCATTGTTTATATACTATATACACATGATTCTTATATAATAATACAATTACTTAAAATCATTTTAAGAAAAGAATGAGAATGAACCTAATCGTTTTTTATTTGTATGCAATGACTTGGCAACAATATACTTTTTCTATCTAAATATAAAATTCCTATGAAATATCAACTGTTGTGTTGTAAAAATGTTGCACTGCTAATGCTTAATTATCCAAGGTAATAGAGGAGAACCATAGCACAGAAAATTAAAAATAGCAGAAAGGCAAAAAGCTTTTAAATTTGATTTTATATTGCACTTCATATTAAATGAGCCTAAATGTGAAGGGTATTTTGCTAATTACATATTTTTATGTTATAATTTGAAATCTCTTTCTCTGCCTGAGTAATGAGGAAGGGGCAAAGGAAAGATGAATAGGAAAGAAATTCATATCATTCAAAACCACAGCGAACTTCACACAACTAACAGAAAGTTGACTGCACTTGTATGGAAATGGTTTTTACTGCTTTCACTAAGAATAAAAAATAATGTAAGCTCTGAAAGATTTTCTAAATTACACAAGCTTAATTTACAATAAAATGTATGATTAAAGCAACATAAACCACAACTGGAGTTCTTAAGATCAGAGTTTTCAAGATTCTGCTGCACATTACAGTATGGCTCTCTTTAAATAACTTTTCAATGAGCAAAATTTCCAAGGAACTACAGAATTAACACTGACCCAATAACAGAAATAAATAAATAAATAAAAACTCCTGATTGAAAAGAACTAATCAATTCTTACCATTAAACTTTTAAATTTTCTATTTTCTGCAATGTGAAAAAAGCCATCTCTTGTTAAAATCTTGATGTGCTTTGCTTCATTATTATACCTGTGGGCGATGAATAACTTATGAATATAAATGTGTTTTTAATCAGTAGAAATCAATAATTACCAGAGGGCAAGCCCCAATAACATTATAGGAATTAATTCTGAAGACAAAATATATACCTATGCCAATACACTGGTGACAGCTAATTAACAAAATATATTTACTAGATTGGTTAAAGATACAAGCAATATTTGAGGTGAAGAGAAGGGCTGAGGAAGATTTAAGCTAATCTTTATTTCCAATTTGTTCAGTAAATTCACTTTGAGAATATATAAAAACAAAATAAAACAACATCTAGTAACGTATACTACTAGAATTTATTAGAAATAAATATACACATCCAATCAACAAAAATACAATGTTATGAAAGAAATCTAATATGCCAATTAGCAGCCTATAACACTTATTACTGTTTTTCTAACAGATATTTTCAAGTATTAATGAACTGTCTGGATAGATGCATTATTTCTGCTGCAATTAGAGAGTTGGTTTTCAACTTTAGTGTTATACATGTCATATGGTCTATGCAATTATGAAAACAGGAAATCTATTTCTGTAAAAGTACTTGTCCTACTTACTTAATGCTAATTGCATATTCTCCTGACTCTTTGGTCCTGTGCCTCACAAGGTAAGTACTATTTACCCTATTAATAAGTTCAGTCTCTGCCTGCAATCTTTCCATTGCTCCAGCATACCTGTAAGAAACAATGACACAGAAAATTTGGACAATGTAACTAAAAGAGAAAAGAGGCTAAAAGTAAGTTTATGTCACGATTTTAACTTAGTAGCAGATCTGAATTGGTTACTGCTGTATGAACTAACTGCATGGATTCCAAAAATGAAAATATAGAATAAAAGCTTAATATGTCCAAGCACAAATGCACTACTACAATGAACTTAAGTAAAATTAATCACATCTAATACAGAGTAAGCACTCAGAAAATATCTGTTAAACAAACAAATGGAACAAGCAGAGGCGCTAATAGGTACTGGGTTAGAAAGAGAGTTATGGGGAGCTAAGGGATAAGAAGAAAGGTCTGCATGAAGGGATCACCTTGTAAAACATAGACACACACACCTCCCAAACTTTAAGGTTTATTATGTAAACTATTTAACAAAATCTTCTTTGAGCATCTTTTGAAGAAAATGCCAGAAATAATTTAAATTATTTTATGGTAATTATTTTGGGATATAAAAACACTTCTTAAAATCTATATCTTGATCATCTATTTCCTTAAGAAAATTGTTGCAGTGAGTGAAATTTATTTTTAAAAAGTAGATAGTTTTTAAAACCAACATTCATTTCTCACTAGGCTATGTTGGCCATAAATATGTCTAAACTTCATAGCAACAACAATAATAAATGACTCAAATTACATGTTAAAATATTCCTTAATAGGTATTTACATCAAATATAAACTTAGCAGCTCTTGACAAAATACAAACAGATTTGGGGCAATAAAAATTGGACAATTGATTTTATGTTTAGATCAGCCATCTTTCAAACATCCCATGAATTAATCTCCCAGGAAGTTCTCTGATTCATATATAAATTTGTGTGACTCAGTATAAATATCCATCACTAATCTACAATAAATATTTATTTAAAATGCACATGGTAAGTATTCAACGAACTTTGTTGAGAGAGTGAATTTTAGGTTTCCACCAAGTATATAAAAGGAGGCAATGGTAGTTGATGTAGATGATACTTTAGGTTTAAAAGTACAGGTATGAAAAACTCATGAACAATTACAACATCTGACCACCCCTACCTCGTCAACCTTATCTGTTACAACCCTCCTCTTCTAATCTTCAGCATTCTCTCAGGACCAAGGACTCAGCAAGGTCCTTTTGGTCTTGGAGTCTTCTTACAGACTGCCCTTGCATGGAAAATACTCACTCCATCATCCCACTTTCTTACTCATCATTAAGGTTCTGAGATTCTTCCGCTATCATCCTAACTAAAGAATATTTGTTGTTCCATACATGGCATGTTTCATCTCATTTTTCCCATTACAAAAACACTAAATCCACTGCCATTAAGTCAATTCCAATTTATAGTGACCTGATAAAGGGTTTCAGAGATTGTAGCTTTTAATGGGAACAGACATGGTCATCTTTCTCCCAGGGAGCAGCTGGTTAAACTGTTGACCTTGCACTTAGCAGCCCAACATCTAACTCACAGTGTCATCAGGGCTCCTAAATTTTTTCCTTCATGGTTCTAATCCCAATGAGCATACAGTTTTGTATCAAAATATTCCTTTCATTGTCTAACCAGATTTCGATTCTGAGTCCCATTTCAAGTTTGTTTGTTCCCCCCGCCCCCCATGACTTTTACCTGCATATGTGAGGCTTCAAAAAAGTCCTATGAAAAACCTACTTGTAGGTTTCAATTTTTTTTGGCATCAAAATAAACTCATACTAACTTGTTATAAAGTGTCTGAATATGATCTAGCTTGAGATATTAAGCAGGATGACAGCCCCTATCAGAACAACATGAATTCTGCTAAAACCAGAGCAAGAACAAATACCAAATTTATGGTGAAGCTTGGGTGTTATAATGCGAAATCCCTAATGTCAAATGAAAAGTTTATGGGGCAATGCCCCAAAGATATCAGCAATTTACAAAAGGAAAACAAATTTTAGGAAGAAAAAAGATGATATTAAAAATGAAACCCACAGAGGTAGACCAGGCATATCAATTTGCAAGGAAGCAATTAATCTTATCTATATCTGGTAGCGTAGTGGTTATGAATCGGGCTGCTAACCTCAAGGTCAGCAGTTTGAAACTACCAGCAGTTCCGCGGGAGAAAGATGAGGCGTTCTGCTCCCGTAAAGATTTACAGCCTTGGAAACCCTGTACAGGGTCACTATGAGTCGGAACCGACTCCACAGTACTTAACAACAACAACAATGCCTTAATTAAAGAGGACCTACAATTAACAGAAAAGACACCCAATGTCACAGACATCTCACTTGTTTAGCTTACACAATTCTGTTTTAAAAAAAGTAAAGTAGAACATACTTTCTACTTGGTGGGGACTAAAACTATTGTGCCCAGAACACCTACAGACAAGAGCGAAGTTTTCAATGGTCATTTTAAACAAGTGGTATCAAGATCCTGAAGTATTTCTTGGAAGAGCTGTAACAGGTGATGAAACATGGCTTTACCAGTATGTTCCTGAATAAAAGGACTCCAGGTATAGTGCTGTAGGATAAGCACTGGACTGCAAGGTCGGTTTGAACTACAAGGTCCATGGTTCAAACTCACCAGCTGTTCCTCGGAAACCCTATACAGGGTCACTATGAGTCGAAACTGACTTCGTATCTCTTAACAACAACAAAAACAAGGAAGCTAAACACAGTCACTATTTGAGCATACTCATTCATTCAACAAGTACTTTGAGTGTCAGGCACTATACTATGGATCAGAACCAACTCCACATCTCTAAACAGAAACAACAGTACCAAAAAATCAATGGCTACCAAGAGGTGGAAATGGTCCAATCAAAGGAAAAGCAGACCGGTCAAGAGCGAAAGTGATGGCAACAGTTTTTTGGGATGTTCAAGGCATTTGCTTGCTGTCTTTCTGAAAGGCCAAAGAATAACATCTTCATATTATGAGAGTGTTTTGAGAAAGTTAGCCAAGGTTCCAGAAAAATTGCCTGGAAAGATTTACCAGAAAGTCAATCCCTAGCACAGCAATGCTCTTGCTCATCCCTCCCATCAAACAAAAGCAGTTTTGCAAGAGTTTTGATTGGAAATCTTTAGGAATCACCTGATTTGGATCCTTGTGACTTCTGTTTGTTTTCTAATCTTGTTGCTGTTATTGTTAAGTGCTGTTGAGTTGGTTCCGACCCATAGTGACCTATATAGGGTTTGCAAGGAGTGGCTGGTGAGCCTGAACCACTGACCTTGTGGTTCAAACTCACTTCGTAGACCAGTGCATTAACCCATAGTGCCATACCAGGAATCCTTTCTTAACTCTTTAGAGGGCACTGATTTTTCTTCAGTTAATGATGGGTTGACAGGGTTACATTTCCAGGAGTATCAGTCTTTTAGGGTTATCAGCCAATAGGGTTAGGCTTAAAATGCCTGGACCTTGAATAAGCTTATGTTTAGAAATAAAGTTTATATTTTGAGTTTTTATCTTTTAATTTAATTTTTCTATAAACGGTTTGAAGTTCCTCATGTTTCTAAAAAACATGATTATATAACAATTTCTTAATCCATCAATTTTAGATTTCAGAAAGAGTAATCATATTCTTCCCATCTATCTATCATAATGCTGTTCCTCGCCCTTCTCTTTTTGTAGTTTCTACAGAGCCAAGCCACCATCATGTTTAGGCATGCTCTCATGTTCAAAGAATGTCTGACAGCCAGAAAATAACTGCCTCATATTTTTGTTTGGTTATGCTTCTTTGTATCTAACACAAATTCTTTCCATATTCTCCAAGGAAATGATAGAACCTCTACTAATATGTTTTTTCAACACCATGTAATATACCAATTCATTTCTTTCTCTGGATATATCTCTCCTTGTACCCTCCACTTTATCTCATAGCAACTGCTCACTCTTGAAACCTGCTGCATTAGTGTAGGTTTAGAACGCCTCTCTGAATTTTTCCAAGGTTTCCTTTTATTTCCTAGATTTTGCACCTCCCTCTTTCTTTGTTTACTAGCTCATACTCCAGCTTCCTGTAAAATGATATAGTTGATGCACTACTGATAGCTCACAACCATAAAAATACATTTTATCCTAACAATCCATAATTTGGCTGGGTATAGAATTCCAGATGAGAAATTATTTTCCTCAGAAATTTCAAGACATTGCTCCATTTTCTTCCAATTTCCAATTCCAGCATTTCATTCTGATGTGACCTGATGTTATTTCTCCCTGTGAATTTTTAGATTTTTCCTATATTCATTACAGTGATAATTTTATGACATTGTGTCTCCTCATTATGTGTTGTACTTTGGACTTCAATACTGTACCAGATTCTCAGCAGTGTCTTCAACTGGGAATGACTATATCTCAGTTTTGAGAATTGTTTGTTTTATAATTATGATCCTCTGTTTTCTCTTTTTAAAGTTCTTACTAGTTGATGGCTTTACTTCATGGGATGAATGACTAATTTTCATTCTTCTCCCCCATACTATCTATCTCTTTGACTTTCTAGATGATTAGCTCACTCACCCCACCCCCCACCTTTTTCTTGTTTCTGCTTGTTCTCTTTATAAAACATCTAGTTCATGTCAAAAGTTGTGATGGTGTATCAATTCTAAGGAGATAAATATATATATATTAATTCCTTTTTTTCTGTTCCCTCTAGCATCTCTGTTATCTTCAAGTTTATTTTCCCATTTATTTCCTTTTATCTGCAATTCAAAACTTTCCAGAAATGTATGATTACCTTGTGTTTTCTATTCATATTTAATAAGTAGGTATCCATGAATGGGAGATTTTGTGTATGTGAGCTCCAAGATAGGCTCATTGGATAGGAAGCTAATCATTTTGCAAGGACTTGATAGTTTGGCTAGGTTTAACATCCAAATGTTAGGATTCGAGTTTTATTGTTGTTGGGTTTTTTGTTTTTTTTTTGCTTTAAGGCCATTTAACTTCTTTAGAGAAAAATCTTCCAAATTCCTGCCTGGAAGCCCAAAGAGGGTAGGATGTTTATGAGAGACACAGCTGTCACAGCAATGAAACTAAGCCATGTGAAGGGACTGGGGAGAGGTTCTTTCATTATTTAGCATACATACTCTCCTTTAACCCCTATGTTTTCAGTAATGGCATCTTCCCCAAACTCTATTGGGCTTGGTCTGTCCATATCAGGGCATCTCTGCCTTATTTTTTCTATGAAATATATTTTCCAAATCTAGTGTCTTCTGCCAGGGTAGAAAAAAACAAGTTGTCTGACTGCAGGGAAGAAGGAGCAAGAAACTTGGCATCTGTTTCCTGTTCTTTATAGAGCTTTTCAAATGATGTTCAGTTTTCAGCCTTCATGACACTCCAAAACATAAGATAATTGAAGATAATTGTCTTTATTTTCTATTTCATTTCATGGCCTATATAAGACCAAGTTCATCTTGTGGGAACAACCTGTTTTTAAATGTGGAAATAATGAACAGGTAATATACTTAGTGATATTCAACTTATCAGTGACTTGAGAACCACATGTCGTCATTCAGTGCAATTTTCTCTAAGCAGTTTAGCATTACTGAAATTGAAGCTTCCATTTTCTGGTGGATTTGATCATTTTGTTCCCTAGCAGAAGGCATTTCACATAAAACTGCCTGCTTAGTTTGAATAAACTGTCCAGGTCACTTAGGAATAAAAAGTAATTTTAAAATTCTACTATGAAATATCCTTATTTCTTCTCATTTTCAAGGCTATCCTTTTGTTTGAATTTCTTCTTCCTCTTTTTTTTAATCATTAAAAACAATACTATCCTAATTGGTCATATTTTAATGCAATTTTTAATAATTGTTAAGTGTGTAGTTTAAAACAAAGGGCATACCTGTACTCTTCTGTGTTCTGAATGCTACCCACATACCTGACTGGTTTATTTAATAAAATCCATGTAGCTTGCATCAGTAGTCTGTATCTCTAACATTATTATCCTATTACTATAATGGAGTCCTGGTGTGGCGCTGTGGGTTAATGCACTAGAATGCACTGTAGGTTTGAACTGCAAGGTTGGTGGTTCAAGCTCATCAGTCACTCCTTGAAAACCCTCTAGAGGGTCGCTATGGGTTGGAACCAACTCGATGGCACTTAACAACAACAACAACAACAACATGACTATAATGTCTAGCTGAGCCCTGGTGTGGTGCTGCAGGAGACACTCTGTCAGACTGGTAAGCAGAAGGCTGATAGTTCAAACCCACCAGCCATTTTTGGAAACTCAACACAAGATGCCTGTGAATTGGAAGTGACTCAGTAGCACACAGCAAGTAATGCCGATTGTTGTTGTTGTTAAGTGCTGTAGAGTCAGTTCCAACTTATAGTGACCCTTTACAGGGTTTCTGAGGAGTGGCTGGTGGGTGTGAACCACCAAACCAACCTTACAGTTCAAACCAAACTTGTGGTCCGGTGCCAGTATTGAAAAGTTACCTAGCCTTTTCTAGGATTTGGCTTATACTACATGAAATATTAAGAGTATTATAAAAATCTGAGACAATGCAGGTGCTAGCTACACTTGTACATGGAACTTATATTCTCTCAGGATATCTTATTTACACACATATCCTGATACTTCATGTGTGTGTGCATATATGAAGGAATTCCAAAAAAGTTGTGGAAAATGAAACAAAACAATAGCTTTATGACATTCCCTCATACATTAATGTGGAGTCCTGGCGTGGCATTATAGGATAAGCATTGGATTGTTAACTACAAAGTAAGTGGTTCAAACCCACCCGCCACTACTTGGAAACTCTATACAGGGTGCTTCTGAGTTGGAACCAACTCAACCATTCTTAACAATAACAATGTACATTAATATCAAGAAAATGAAAGTGGATTCAGCAGTGTTAGGAAGAGGAAAAAAAGCAAAATTCAGGAAAACAAATATAAACTGAGTAAATATGCTCATGTTTTTTATCTAGAGGTTGGTAAAATATAAGGTCAGCAAAAAGGAGGAAAACTCTCAATGAGATGAATTGACACATAAACCAAACAATAAACTCAAACATACCAACAATTATTCTCTTATACATAAAAGTACTAAATGTCAGAGCTGACTTTATAGCAACTAACAACAATGAAAGTGTGTGGCACTCCTGGTGTGGTACTGTAGGATCAGCACTGGACTGTGAACCACAAGATAGGCAGTTCAAACCCACCAGCTGATCCTCAGAAACCCTGTAGGATCACTATGAGTCAGAGTGGACTCGAGTGCACTTAACAAAAAATAACAACAATAGCAAGGTATAGATAACCTGGAAAGCTGGCTCTAAAACATCCTAATTGCCTGGCCTGGCTTTTCCCTTTGCTTCTCAGCTGTAAAAAGGGCATCATAACCACCTTCCATGTATGGGTGTTGCAAAAACAAACAAACAAACAAACAAAGAGCACTAAGTATACTGCCCATCACAATATATAGTAGTTATCATATGATGATCATAACTATTCTGGATTCTAAATATGTTTCTCCAGTTGAAGATATCACTGTCCCCTCAAACTCAGAATGTCTAGAAAACAATCATCATTCACTTTACTTCACTTCCTTCTTCCTATTAATGATGCTACCGTCTCCCAAGTGGTAGGTGAGCTCCATGTAAGCCTGGAACTTTGATGGTGATACACCTTGCTCTTCACATATTACATGGGTACAGTTGTATTTTTTAGGATCTGTCATCCTTTTTAGACTTACTTTTAGTTTTAGTTAATGGAATCATACTTTTTGTGCTGTCTTCTGTTGTGCTAAGTCTGCATTTCTAAAATACAACATACATAGTTGTGTATGTACCATTTCTTTCTGTGACTGCTAAAAACTTTGCATTTATCATCAGACACACACAGAGACATACACAGATACACACACACCACTCTCCAACAGAGATATGGAAAGGTCAGCAATACATAAATTCATTTCAATGTTTTGTGACATCTGAAAACACCTTAAGCCAGGACAAATGGGAATGGAATGTGGTTGGTTACTACCTGCACATTTAGGCGTCCTGGAGCTAAGAGGATGGTATTTCAACTTAGCTACATAAACATTTTTAATACTTACCAGGGTTGGCAAGAATAATCTACTGGTTTGGGCACCTAGGACATAAAAAGGCAAAAATAGATTAAGTTTACTTAAGGGAAGCTTTTAGAAATCAATCACTAATTCAGTTCAGCTGAGTCAGCTCTATAAAACCCTAAGTAGCACAGCCCTGAAACTATCCATTGGCAATTTTATACAGAGTGAATCATAGTCTATGCCAGGTAAGTAGAAAATAATTCATTTCACTTTAATTCATTCTTTCATTCATTTTACTGCCACAGTAACTCCAAGGAGAATGATATGCAGGGAAAAATATTAACTGGAAGCCTTCAGTATTTATTATCAAGACAATTTAATCCAATTGTAGAAAATTAAAACAAAAAATGTTTTGAAGAAAACCAAATAGCACTCTGCTTTTCCAAAACATTGAGAAAACATGCTACAAAAAGAATACATACTAGATGTAGACCCTTATTTTCTAAAACAAATCCAAATCTCTGATTTTGAAGCCTGCCAACTTAAAACCTTTTATTTAGGAAAAAAAGTAGTGGAAAATATTATTTCCCCCTTTTCTCATTCCTTTATAGCTTCTGACAAGGGAAAATATTGCATTTTCTGTGCAAATATGAAAAATAAACTTCTTAGAATGGCTGATGGAAATTAGTGAATGAACAAAGTCAAAGAAGTTATACTAATATTCCTCAAATGCCAAATCAAATATATACTGCAGAAGGGAACAGAGTTAAAACATTCTTGAGAAAAGATTAGTGAGGACAATGAATTTGTCTTATATTCAGAAACTTTTCATGAAATCTTTGAGTATTTGATAGAGATACACTGGATGCTATTTCTGGACCTTTTTATTTTAGGTGATTAAATATACTATTGCCCTCAATTATAATAACAATAAGCAAAACAGAATTTCAGAGCTTTGATCAATGTGAATATATCTTTATGTCAATTTTATAGATAAAAAAATAATCTTTCTGGTCCAAACATCCCTATGGATACTAAGATTTAAATTTCTGTCTTATGGATTTTATTTTATTTTTATCACCATATATAGAAATGAATATTGAAAGCAGATAATTCCCATTCAAATCTTGCAAATATTTTCTTAGACCATGCTTTTCACAAATAGAAATCAATCTTCAACTGTTTGCCCTTTGATGAGATACACACGGTTTTTGAAACTTCATAGGAAAAATATTTCCTCCTTCATTCTCCCTCTTTGTATACTTTGTTGTTGTGTGTTGTCAAGTTGGTTCCGACTCATACAGACCCTATATAGGATTTTCAAGGAGCAATTGGGGGTTTGAACCACCAACCTTGAAGTTCACAGTCCAGTGCATATTCTACAGCATCACACCAAGACTCCTTGTATACTTTGTTGTTGTTGTTGAGTGCCATTTAGTTGGTTGTGACTCTTAGGGTCCCTGTATAGGGTTTCCAAGGAGGTGCTGGTGAGTTTGAACTGCCCACCTTGCTGTTCAAACAGACTTTGTGGTCTAGTGCTTATCCTATAGTGCCACACCAGGACTCTGCTGTATACTTTTAAACATGCTTATTTCCAAACCAGCTTATCTACATTGCTCATTTAGAAACTGAGGTAGATTTTATACACAGAACTTTAAAATATTTTGTTCAGAGTTTATGATTTTTATCTGTGGTGGTATGGTGTGTGGTGGTGAAGTCCTGGTGTGCTATTGAGGGTTAATGTTCTGGACTGCAGAGTTGGTCTGAATCTCAAGGTTGGTGGTTCAAGCTCACTAGTCGCTCCTTGGGAATCCTATATAGGGTCACTCTGAGTTGGTACTGACTCAACAGCACTTAACAACAAAAACAACATCTGTGGTGGGGTTAGCCCAATAGATATACTCAACATTTACCACAAGTAAAACCTTCTTGCTTTCATTAATGCTTCTGTGAGCTGAGAATCGAATCATCAGTCATTTGTACTTAATATATCTTTTCTCTTTGGTTGGTTTTAATATTTTCTTTTTCTTTGATGCTATGTACTTTCACTAAAAAGTATCTAACTAACTAAATCTATTGCTATTAATTCAATTTGATTCTGACTCATAGCAACTCTATAAGAAAGAGTACAGAGAGAGGTGGGGCTTGATGGTGGCTAGGGTGGAGGTGCAGTGAGGTTCGCCATTAGCCATACCACAGAATACCAAGCAAAGCAGATCCAGGGCAAAGCTCCAAAACTAGGAACCACAGAGATAGGAATATTTTAAAAGTTTGAAGGCTTATAGCTACTGGAACTTGAAGCTGAAGTAAGAAATTGCGTACTTTTGAATCTGCCAGGCTCAGAGGCCTAGAGCCAACATTTTGGGTGAGACTAGATGCCAAGACCAAGTGAGCGAGCAGAAACACCACAGAAAAATGCCACGAGAACCTTGGAGCAAAAGTGAACAATACACTTTGTCTGTTTTATTTTGTTCTGATTTACTGTTTTTTTTTGTTTTTGTTTTTTTTTTTTAATCTGGTCATTGACCCCCACCACTGTTTGTGCAACTCCATTCCAGTGACTAGAGGGGGAGCCTGAGTGAGTGGACACCCCCACCCTTACCACTGGTGGGTTCTTCTGCCACGCATGCGCACAGATACTCTCAGCCAAAGATCTGGCCCTGAACTTTTTTTTTCTTTTTAAATATGGGAAAGACCAGGACAGGGCGGTAGAGAGGGAAAGAGAGTTTAAAAATAAAACAGACCAAAAATTAAATTAAAACCTGAGGTATAGCATAACAACCAACAGTGGTATCTTGAAATCTCTCAGGCAGCTTTGAAAACAAGAAGCTGAAGTGAGGACATTAAAGTCATACTCACATCTGGCTACAAAGTTTGTATATTTTTTTCTTCTCTCCCTCCTCGCCCTTTTCTGTGATTATAGACTGCAGTATTCAGTCTAGCTTTGTTTTGTGGTTGTTGTTTGGGTTTTTTGTTTTGTTTTGTTTTGCTGTTTTATGCTCCCAACTCTACCTTTGGGGGACTCTCTCTCTCCTTGTATTACCCAAGAAGAGTCAGCAACTGCTGCCATATAGTCAAGCTACAATCACACTCTATAAAACACCAAAACCCAGGCAAGAACCAATACCAACTGCCATATGCCAGAGAAGCAGACAACACCTGTGAAAGTTACTCCGAGTTAAACAATAAGAAGAGTGAAAAGGGAAGTCCACGTCCTGATCACATCTACCTGGAAGCAATCAGAAAGCATTAAAAAAATACCAAAATATATACTCAATAAGTATTAAGGCCACAAATAAACACTAAACATGACCAAGAAGCAAAAGCAGATGACCATATCAGCATATGTCCAGAAACAAGTTAAAATGTCCAAAAATATGACCTAGAGGTAGACCTGGACTCCATTCAGGAAGGAGGACAGGCCTTGGAAATGCCTGACAAGGAATTAAGAAAAGTGATTATAAAATGTTTCAAAATACTTTACAATGGAGTTGAGAAAAATAAGGAAGAAGTCAAGAAAGTGCTACAAGAACAATCAAATAAGATAGATTCAGCATTGGAAACAATTCAAAACCTACAGAAAGAGGTCCAAATGATCGATAATAGAATATCAGAAATAGACAATAATCTGAAAGGACAAAGGAGTAGAATAGAAGAGATGGAAGGCAGAACCAGTGAGCTGGAAGACAAATCTCTCAATACCACTAAGATAGAAGAGCAAATAGATAAAAGGATAAAAACATCTGAAGAAGGTCTAAGATTCATGTTGGACAACATGAAGAGGAATAACTTAAGAATTATCGGCATTCCAGAACAAGAATAATCACATAAGTCCACAGAGGAAATAGCTGAAGAACTGCTGGAAGAAAATTTCTCTAACATCCTGAAAAGTGAAAACGTAAACATCCAAGAAGCTCAATGAACCCCAGGAAGGACAGACCCCAAAAGAAAATCACTGAGACATATCATAATCAAGTTCTCCAAAATCAAAGATAAGGAGACACTCCTGAAAGCAGCTAGGGAAACAGAAGTGTTATATACAAAGGCAAACAAGTCCAATTAAGCTCAGATCTCTCAGCACAAACCATGCAAGCAAGAAGGCAATGGGAGACATATACAAAATCCCAAAGGAAAAAAAAATTGCCAACCAAGACTCCTTTATCCAGAAAAGCTATCAATCAAATACAACAGTGTAATCAAAACATCCCAGGATAAACAGAAGCTAAGGGATTTTGCCAAAGCCAACCCTGTGCTACAAAACATTCAAAAGGGAGTTCTGTGGATTGAGAACCAACAAGAACAGACAACAACCAGAGATTGACATATGTGGCAGCACTTCCCAGAATTAAATCAACAGAAGGAAAAGTTGAGAAAAGAACAAAACTATAAGAACAAACTCAGAGAATCTGGGAGGTCAGTCTATGATCAAAATCATTACAATGTAAAAAGAAGGTAAACATGTAGGAACAGAGATCCAGATGGTAAGATCTGGATAAATCAGGTAGATTACAGGATAAAATAGACTGCACTGAATGGAGAGAAAAGTTAATGGACTATAAGGCAACCTCAAAGAAAATTAACACTTCACAGCATACCAAGAAAATGAAAATCCAAGAAGAACATGGAAACATTAAAACTATGAGGAAACTCACAAGAAAGAATACAAAAACATGAACTCAACAAAGAAAGACACACAGAACAAAGAAAGCAGCTACGCCACAAAGCAAAGCAAAGCAAAACAAAACATAATAGCAGCAATTAATCCATATGTATCGATAATTACACTGAATATAAATGGATTAAATGCACCTGTTAAGAGACGGAGAGTGGCAGAATGGATAAGAAAACCAGATCCTTCAATATGCTGTCTGCAAGAGACACATCTTACACACACAGACAAAAACAGATTAAAAGTCAAAGGAAGGAAAAAAATATACCAAGCTGATTCCAATAAAAAACAAACAGGAGCGGCAGTACTAATCTCTGATAAAATAAACTTTAAGGCAAAAACCAGCATACTAGATAAAGATGGACATTACCTCATGATTGAAGGGACAATTGATCAAGATGACATAACCAT